GCTTTGTCTTTTTTTCTTGTCTAGTTTGGTGGGAGGAGGGGTGGGGTGTTGGAAGTAATTCTTTGGGAACAGTGGAATAAGGAAGGAATAGTCATTATGTAGAGAATTTGTACCTTATATGTAGATGAAAATTTTTATTTCCAAAACCCTGAATCAAAACTGTAATGTTTATATTATGTGAAGTTTTGTGAAAGAGAATTTTTTGCTACACTATCTTTTCATGATTTTTTTTGGATTTTTTTATTTGGGGGAGAGGGGTTATAGTTGTATTACAGTTTGGATCAGTTCTTTCTGCAACATTCCGTTTTGATGATAGTTGACAATGATGTTGTTTCCTTTCTGATACTAGCCCTAAGTTATATGTATACATCTGTGTCTAACCAATGTCTCCTCTACTTGTCTTTTTCCCCTCCCACGTCTTTATTTTCCCCCTGCCCCTTCTCATTCCACCACCCCCCTCACCTCACCTCTCCCCTTGCCGCCCCCCCCCCCTTCTTTTCTTTTCCCCTTCCCACTTCCCTTTCTTCACTTCCCCCATTCCCTCCCTCCTACCCACCTGCTCCCACTTCCTGCCCTACACCTCATCCCATGGTCACACACCCCCCGCCCCCCAACATCCCATCCCATCCCATGGTCACCCAGTAAAGTACCTGGGACTGCTGGCCATGTCCCGTATCCTGGCCTCCCACCCCAAGTCTGTGCAGGGCCACAAGGACCTCATCCTGCAGTGCCTGGACGACCGCGACGAGTCCATCAGGCTCCGGGCCCTGGACCTGCTCTACGGGATGGTCAGTCTTCTGTCTTCTCCCTTTTTTGTCCTTGTACTGTATGACCATTATTGTATCGTGGGTAGTTTAGTGGTTGGGCGTGGGTGGTTGGTGGGTGCTCTGGTGTGGTCTGCTTCTTTTTTCCTATCAAACATCTATCATCGTCCTTATCTCCCGTGGGTGGTTGGTGGGTGCTCTGGTGTGATCTGCTTCTTGTTTCCTATCAAACATCTATCATCATCCTTATCTCCCCTTCTTTTTTATGTTTGTTACTCTCTTGTAACACTTCTAATCTTCTGGCACTCATCTGACCTTATTCAGTTGCGAGCGCCGTAAAACCTCTAAAAACAATAGTGGTTAGGCTACCAGACACGTAATCATGAGGTTACGAGTTCGGGGTTTCTTGCCGCAGTACTGATGTTGTCTCCTTGGGGAAAGGCACTTTGCATGAATTTTTCTCACTTCACCCAGGCGGGAATGGGTACCTGGCCATAAACAGCGAAAGATCTTGTCTGTATGTTAGTGTTTTAGTACCTATAAATGGCAGCTTGAAATTGAAATTGTTTCAGACTGCTATCAAGTCTTCTTGGGTAATAGTAAAGTGCATATAGCTTGCTGTTGAGCGGGAATTTGCACAATATAAATGCTATCTCTAGGCCTAACTATTATTATCGATTTGCTTCTTTTCCTCAGACTAAACTAAACACACACAGGCATCATAATATTCTAGACAGGCTCAGTGAAATAATCGTGGGTTCTCTCGTGTGGTCTTCTTCTACTTTGCAATTTATTTTAAGTGTAACTTTTGACCTGATGTATTCGTGGGTAGTGCTCATATGACCTTATGCAGTTGCGAGCACCGTAAAACCTCTGCTAAAACTAAAACACACACACACACACACACACACACACATTCCTACCTGCATTCACAGATGAGCATGTATACCCACAAATGCATGGACACACTCATTCTATTCATATGTCTGATGCACTGTCATGCACAGAATGATAGGGTTCCCACTCATGTTCTGATCAAAGCTTGTCCCAAACCAATGAACTGTAGCAGCTCAGATTCAGAGAGACCAAATGCTTGTTCTAACTTTTGGCTTTGCTTTTCACAGCTCTGTGTTCAGAAGCTACGCATCCTCATTGAGGACTCGGACCAGAACTGTGAGTGACCACAAGTGACCGCTGTGTCTTATGACTGTTGATCAGATAGATATGATCTGTCTCTGGCTCTCTTTCCTCCCTCTCTCTCCTTCTCTCTCTCTCTCACACACACACATACACTATCCCTTCTCTCTTTCTTCACCTTTAGTCTTTCTGTTTCTGTCTGTCTGTCTCTCTCTCTCTCTTTCTCTCTCTCTCTCTCTCTCTCTCTCTCTTGCTCTCTCTCCCTCCATCCCTTCCTCTCTCGCTCTCTTGCTCTCTCTCCCTCCATCCCTTCCTCCCTCCCTCCCTCCCTCTGTCTCTCTCTCCCTCTCTCCCTCTCTTTCAAGTCTTTCTCTCTCTCTCTCTCTCTCTCTCTCTCTCTCTCTCTCTCTCTCTCTCTCTCTCTCTCTCTCTCTCTCTCTCTCTCTCTCTCTCAAGCTGGTTGCCATGTCAACACTCTTTACCTGTTGCTTTGTCTTTTTTTCTTGTCTAGTTTGGTGGGAGGAGGGGTGGGGTGTTGGAAGTAATTCTTTGGGAACAGTGGAATAAGGAAGGAATAGTCATTATGTAGAGAATTTGTACCTTATATGTAGATGAAAATTTTATTTCCAAAACCCTGAATCAAAACTGTAATGTTTATATTATGTGAAGTTTTGTGAAAGAGAATTTTTTGCTACACTATCTTTTCATGATTTTTTTTGGATTTTTTTATTTGGGGGAGAGGGGTTATAGTTGTATTACAGTTTGGATCAGTTCTTTCTGCAACATTCCGTTTTGATGATAGTTGACAATGATGTTGTTTCCTTTCTGATACTAGCCCTAAGTTATATGTATACATCTGTGTCTAACCAATGTCTCCTCTACTTGTCTTTTTCCCCTCCCACGTCTTTATTTTCCCCCTGCCCCTTCTCATTCCACCACCCCCCTCACCTCACCTCTCCCCTTGCCGCCCCCCCCCCCCTTCTTTTCTTTTCCCCTTCCCACTTCCCTTTCTTCACTTCCCCCATTCCCTCCCTCCTACCCACCTGCTCCCACTTCCTGCCCTACACCTCATCCCATGGTCACACACCCCCCGCCCCCCAACATCCCATCCCATCCCATGGTCACCCAGTAAAGTACCTGGGACTGCTGGCCATGTCCCGTATCCTGGCCTCCCACCCCAAGTCTGTGCAGGGCCACAAGGACCTCATCCTGCAGTGCCTGGACGACCGCGACGAGTCCATCAGGCTCCGGGCCCTGGACCTGCTCTACGGGATGGTCAGTCTTCTGTCTTCTCCCTTTTTTGTCCTTGTACTGTATGACCATTATTGTATCGTGGGTAGTTTAGTGGTTGGGCGTGGGTGGTTGGTGGGTGCTCTGGTGTGGTCTGCTTCTTTTTTCCTATCAAACATCTATCATCGTCCTTATCTCCCGTGGGTGGTTGGTGGGTGCTCTGGTGTGATCTGCTTCTTGTTTCCTATCAAACATCTATCATCATCCTTATCTCCCCTTCTTTTTTATGTTTGTTACTCTCTTGTAACACTTCTAATCTTCTGGCACTCATCTGACCTTATTCAGTTGCGAGCGCCGTAAAACCTCTAAAAACAATAGTGGTTAGGCTACCAGACACGTAATCATGAAGTTACGAGTTCGGGGTTTCTTGCCGCAGTACTGATGTTGTCTCCTTGGGGAAAGGCACTTAACATGAATTTTTCTCACTTCACCCAGGCGGGAATGGGTACCTGGCCATAAACAGCGAAAGATCTTGTCTGTATGTTAGTGTTTTAGTACCTATAAATGGCAGCTTGAAATTGAAATTGTTTCAGACTGCTATCAAGTCTTCTTGGGTAATAGTAAAGTGCATATAGCTTGCTGTTGAGCGGGAATTTGCACAATATAAATGCTATCTCTAGGCCTAACTATTATTATCGATTTGCTTCTTTTCCTCAGACTAAACTAAACACACACAGGCATCATAATATTCTAGACAGGCTCAGTGAAATAATCGTGGGTTCTCTCGTGTGGTCTTCTTCTACTTTGCAATTTATTTTAAGTGTAACTTTTGACCTGATGTATTCGTGGGTAGTTATAGGGTTTTTCTGTCCCTCTGCTGTTTGTATGTGTCTGTTGGTTTTCCGGATTTGGGTTGTTTTTGTTGTTTTGTTGTTGTTGGTTTTTTTGTTGGGTTTTTTTTTGGGGGGGGGATGCACTTATAGCAAGAAACTTTGCGGGCTTCATTTTAATGGTACTGAATCTCAACTCATGTCCAAATCTGTTGCCAGGGAAAATGTGGTTGTTGTCATGTGGTCTCACTCTTAATATTACACTTCAACCATGTTACATATGCCTGCTCGTACACATGCATACATGCACACACACACACACACACACACACACACACACACACACACACACACACACACACCAAAACACACACACCAAAACACACACACTCACACACACACACACACACACACACAGATACACACACTCATACACACACTAGCCCCTAACACACTGGACATGTACTGACGGTGGTGTTGTGTGGGTGGTTGGCAGGTGTCAAAGAAGAACCTGATGGAGATTGTGAAGAAGCTGATGGTTCACATGGACAAGGCCGAGGGCTCCCACTATCGCGATGAGCTGCTGTCCAAGACTGTGGAGATCTGCAGCCAGTCCAACTACCAATATGTCACCAACTTTGAGTGGTCAGTATCCCCTGTGGGGGGCTGGAACAACACTGATAATGATACTAGATCACTGATTTCTCTTAACTTTTCTTTTTTTCATACAAGTATTGGGCTCAGGAGTAAACTTGAGCTCTCCATTCGGAACGTACTTGACCTACTGTGCACATATGGGTCTCCACTATCAGGCGGGCCACTCTGGTCACGATGAGGTCATTTGAGAAAGGCTTTTTTAACTTAGTTTAAGAATAGGGGATTAAAATGTACTTTTACCAGTATTTCTCACACCTGTATATTGTACTTTTAAGTTTTCCCAGCCCTTATTGGACAGTCATTGTGTCTATGTGTTTGACTTAGACCTCAGGATTCTTTTCTTCTTTTTTTTTAAGATAATAATTTGAGTTTGAAGCCTTCCTTAAATCTGGCATCACCACTATGGTGATCAGTTGGTTTTTCTTGTTGGTGAATATGCAATTGCCTCAGTTGCAGAAATGTATGAACTTCTCAAAGAGGGTCACTTCACATCTGTCCAGTAAGAAGTCGTTGTTCAAGGTGGAGGTCACTTATTTTACTCAAAATGACTTAAATCATGTTGAAGAAAGTGTAAACCTCAAAGTTACTCAAGGTTCTAATATGAGGTTTGTGTCCCTGTACGTAGGTATGTGAGTATCTTGGTGGAGCTGACGCGTATGGAGGGCACCAAGCACGGAAAGCTCATCGCCAACCAGATGCTGGACGTGGCCATACGAGTACAGGCCATAAGGCACTTTGCCGTCTCACAGATGGTGAGTTGGCTCTTATTTGACCAATTTGTGTCGATAAGGCTGTGAAATGTATAATTACTTACAGATGGTGGTTAGTTGGCTCTTTGGGGAGCGAATTTTTCAGAACTGCTGCAAAATATGTACTCTTACTTGATAACTGATGGTGGTGATTACTTAACAGATGATGAGTTGGCAATTAGGAGACCAAATTGTTTCAGAAGTGCAGTAAAATATGTACCCTTACGAAATAACTGATGGTAAGTATGAGTGGTTGGAGAGTGCCGCTGGTATGTCTTATTTCTTTACCCTCACTCTTTTGTTTTGGTTTATCATGTCAGCCTTGCTGTTTAAAAGATATTGATTGTGGGTGGTTAGAGGGTGCCACAGATAGTAGATAGCGTAAACACGGCCTCCCAGCCTTCCTAGCGCGTAGTTTCGATAAAATCGGGACAATTCAGATCACTGTTTCTTTGTTCTTTTCACTATAAAACACCAAATGATGTATACCTTGTAAAAGTTAAGCTTTTCTTCGTAATATATCTAATTATTAGGAGCTGGAGAATTGTCATGAACAGCGAAGCCCCTCACGGTCGGAATGCGTGGTCAGCCGGTTAAAAAATTGACACGAATGGTGATGATTAATACCGTCTTTTCATTGGCAGAGAACCGTAGAGCTTTTTCGTGGCATATTTTTGGCCCTTGGCGTTTAAATAGAAAGCCTTTAAAAATATATTCAAAGTTTTCAAAGATTTTTTACAGGAAATATGTCCATCTCAAAAAAGGTACTAATAGAAAGATCCGTTCATTTTCTATTAAAACTTAGTACACTACATTATAGATCCGACTCGCTCGCTGCGGGGGCCGGTGTGGCGCCGGCCAGTGTGGCGCTGCCCGGACAGCGCTTGCTGTTTATGTCGAAATAACGACAGATCATCGTGTTTGAAACAGTAAAATACTGATTTGTTATTATCTCAGAGTTTTGAAATAAATTAGACTTCATATCTATGTTTTAGTGATTGTACTCTGTTAATTTGGAGATGTTTGGTGCACTTGGTACTCTTTTATCAGCTGTCAAACGTGGGGTTGCAGCCAGTTAACGACTTCAGCAATATTTGATCATATTTAGAACAGCTACCATTTTCTTAAAAATTGACTGAGAGGTCAAAGAATGCTACCAAAATTCTCAGGAGATATAGGCCTTTCTTATGGAACAGATAAATTTGGCATACAATAACAGACAGGTTTTACTTCTTAACTCTCTCCTTTGTTGTTATTTTCAGTCTCGCTGTTTGTGATGTTGGTGGGTGCTCTGGTGTGGTTTGCTCCTTCTTTCCTATCAAACAATCTATTATCCTTATCCCCCCCCCCCCTTCTTTTTGTGTTTGTTACTCTCTTGTAACACCTCTAGTCTTCTCCACTCATATGACCTGATTGTGCTGCAAGTGCCGAAAAACACTTACTAAAAAAAAGTCTCGCTGTTTCCTAGTATTCATGGATCATTGTTTCAAAATTCTTGTCAAAGTAACCTGAGCAGACAGTGAGTTGCTCTGCTGCTTAGGGTTGTAGAGATAGATGACAGATGATTACTCCATGTGCTGCTAGTCTCCCACCATCCGGGTTCAGGGAGTGGTGGTTAAGGAGTTCACTGGTGCTGTCTGCCCTCATAGGAAGTCTCAAAGCAGCCGAACTCCAAAATGATCTTATTTGTGTTGATGAGATGTTGTTGTGATAATTTTTACAATCAATCACTTACGCAGTTGCGAGCGCCGTAAAACCATATACTACTACTACTACTACTACTACAATCAATCAAATAACAAAGGTGGAGATGATAATAAGTTATTCAGCGTGATTGACCTACGTTCGATATACTCTGGGTCTGTATATTTCACTGTCAGGTTTTTTTTTCCCTATGGAAGAGTAAGTAAAGTATATCTCTTATTTTAGGCAGTCCTGTTGTGTGTGTTTCACTGTCACTTTTTTTCCAATGGAAGGTAAATAAAGTATAATTATCTACCTTCCTGGCAATCTTTTCGTGTGTGTTTCGCTGTCAGCTTTTTACTACGAAATGTCAATAAAGAATATTTATCTTCTCATCCAGGCGATACTGTTGGAGAACTCTCACATTCTGGCCAACAACTCCCAGCGTAACGGAATCTGTGAAGTGCTTTATGCCGCCGCCTGGATCTGTGGAGAGTTTTCTGAGTAAGTCATGTGTCGGATCTCGGGCTGTTGTCTTTACTACCTCTCTCTCCAATGTTTCTGTCGTATCATTTTCCCAGCGCAAAATGACATTTGTTGTCAATGAACTTTTTTTTTTTGTAGTTAATTTGAATCTCAACCTGAAGTTGAGATAATTGATGGAGGCGCGAGTTCAAGGTCAAAAGTTGGTGTGTAAACATCTTGGGCTCTGCCAGAAATTACTCTCCTCCAGCAATAATTGTAGAACTTGGTTCTGTAACCAGGTTTTCTGTTCCTTCCCTTTTGGAGTGCCACTAGTTAGTCCTAATTCTCTTCTTTCTTTCTTTCTGTCCATCTTACTTTTTTTCCCAGCACTAAATGATCTTTATTGTGTTGATGAGCTTCTCACTGCTCAAACAAACGTTTAAAGAACCTTCCCCTCTTTTGGGGAATTTCAATTCATTTGAAACTTTAACTCAATCAAAGTGCTAGAGTTTCCCCTCAAATAAACTGCTCCTACTCGCCGTTACTGTTTTCATGATTAATGTCCCGAAATTGTCATCACAGTGGAGACTTGAGTGTTTCATTATTCGCACCCAACAATTTTTTTTTCTCTCCCTCTCTCCACCATTCTGTGGCTCAGGCACCTGAACGACCCTAAGGCCACCTTGGAGGCCATGCTGCGGCCCAAGATCACATCGCTGCCGGGCCACATCCAGTCCGTGTTTGTCCAGAACATTCTCAAACTGTATGGGAAGATCTTGAAGGCTGCGGAGGCGAAGGAGGAAGATGGTGTGAAGGCAGAGGTGCATGCTCTCCTACAGGAGAAGCTGCCTGTATTTGTACAGAGTGGGGACCTGGAGGTTCAGGAGAGGGTGAGTTTGTGTCAGGTTGTTGTGTCTTGTGTGTGTGTGTGTTTGTGTCAGATTGTTGTGTCTTGTGTGTGTGTGTGTGTGAGGGTGAGTTTGTGTCAGGTTGTTGTGTCTTGTGTGTGTGGGTGTGTGTGTGTGTCAAATTGTTGTGTCTTGTGTGTGTGTGTGTGTAAATTATTTGTGAGGCAGCGTGGTGGAATCAAGCTCTCGTCAATTTTTAGTCATGTAGAGTTATTGGTATCATCTTACAGCTTTTTCACTCGTCTTTATTTGGATGAAAACAATATCCATTTATCTTGAATACAAGTCGAGTTATTTGCGAAAGAAGGAGGTGGGGATCACCTGTTTTCAGAGGTAAAATTAGTGAGAAAATGGCCGCCAAAGATTAGTTATTTCCTTAGCTTAAGAGTCCTTGGTAACTGAAAATTTACATTTTTGTGCCTTTAATCAATGTTTTTAAGAAAAATCCACACAGAAATGAGTTCTTTAATGGGCAAGAAAGGTGTTGAGCCAAAAAACAAAAATTTTGACAAAATTCACAAACTCGTGGAAAAATGCATGTCTCTTCACTTTGATTATTTTGACGAGAGCCTGATTCCATCACGCTGCCTCACATTTGTATGCTACTCTGTAGCTCTTGTGACACCTCTAATCTTCAACACTTATATGACCTATTTGTGTTGCGAGTGACATATTGGATTCTATGTTGAATTATGGAATAAATGTAGATCAAACCGAAAAGTGTGGATTTTTTTTTTTTTTACTTCTGGGTAATCCATGAAGTTTACGTTTCCTTTCTTCATCCAACAGGCATGCAGCATTCTCCAGATCGTCAAGTACATTGTGAAGCTAGAAGAGAAGGGAGCGGCGGTGGCCGATGAGGTGGAGGGACTCTATGCCGGGGAACTCAACCCTGTGGCTTCCAAGGCACAGAAGAAGGTGCCCGTGCCTGAGGGGTGAGTCTGTTACAAGCATGAACAGATGCAGACAGACAGATACAGACAGACACATACACACACGTACATTACACACATGCGCAGGCATGCACGCACGCACACACACACACACACACACACACTGACACATGCATACACACACTGACAAACACACGCACTGACACACACATACACACGTACACACACACACCCAACTTACAGTGCTGACATATGTGAACACTCACATTCACACACACACACACACACACTCACACTCACACACACACACACACACACTCACACACCCACACCCACACACACACACTGTTATACTCAAACACATCTCTTACAAAATGCCCATGCTGGAGGGGTGAGTCAGTGACTCAGGTACAGACACAGGCACCCAAATACACACACCTATACTTCCATGAGATACAAGCACAGGTTTCTTTAGTTTACAGAGCTGTCACATTCATGATCTAAGTATGTGTACTTAGTGTCCATCCATCCTCTCTGTATGGCAAGTGATTGGAGGGTGCCACAGGTAGTTTTTTTTTTCTTTTCTTTTCCTTTCTTTCCTTCTGTTGGTTCTGTCTGTCTGTTGTACTTTTTCCTTACACAGAATGATGTGCTTTACTCAAATAACGTACTTTTTCCTTACACAGAATGATGTGCTTTACTCAAATAACATCAAAATGACAAATCTAAATCAACTTCTCTCCCTCAGTCTGGACCTGGACAAATGGATCAACGAGCCCCTGGAGGACAGCTCGGACGAGGAGGTCAACGTGTCCTCGTTCTTTGTGGCTGCAGATGATCAACACAGGTGAGTAGACCCTGGAGGTGTCAATGTAGAGACACTGAGCCCCGAGGAGACCAAAAAAAACCTCCTTTGTGTTGTCATCGTACAGTTTTATTGTAGTGCTTGATGATGTGCTGTCAAAGATGTTGAGAAACATATCAGTGATAACAAAGGCTATACAAAGGAACAGGACTGATCACACAGAATGGCTGCTGTAAATAACTCAATAACTCCAAGCTGGCTGATTTTCCAAACAAGATTATGCATTAATTGAGTAGGCAATCATTTGTTAAAAACTTTTACTGTTGTCCTCAGCTGATATCTCGCCACTTCCAGTTTACAAAAAAACAAACTGTTAACTTGGTTAGTATAGCTTTGTATCTCCTACACAGGTCTTTTCAAAGAAACAGCATTTTTTCTCAGTGCCTTTTCATTGTAAAGTTGTCATGTTTTTACCAGCGTTTTGTTTTGTCTCCACAAATCTATGTACAGTGTTGTCTCTTTCAGGTCAAGTTATCAATATGAAGAGAGCAAAACTTACCAACAACCAACAGAGGAGGAATTGGAGAAGGTAGAACATTAGTTAAAGTTATTTATGAGGTGTGGTGACGAAATTAGTCACTTCTCGGATTTTAGCCCCCTATGGACATAGATACTTCAAATTTGTAGGTTGAATTTATGCCATTTATTAGTACAAGATGATGAAAGTGAAAGGCACGTTAAACTTGAAGAAAATGGCATCCGTTAAAAATCTACAAATTTGACCCCTGTGTCAATTTCATTCCAAAGTCTCTATTTGTGAATTGCGAGAAGCGACATATTTAGTTAACATGCTTCACATTTAGGTTTAGGGGGGGAGGAGGTAGGTCCTACTTCTGCACTTTCTCTCTTTTGTTTCTGTCTGTCCATCTTGCTTTTTTCCTCCAGCGCTCAATTATTATGATCACGTTGACGGCCTTTATTTCACTTAAACTCAAACACTCCTCTTCCTCTTCCTCTTCTTTTTCACTAGCGGCGGGAAGCCCGCAAGACAGAGGTGGAGCACAACCCACACTATCTGAAGGACGATGGGCGGGGCAGACGGAAGCGAGACGCAGCCCCGGACACGAGCAACATTCCTGTGGCAGAGATTGACTTGTCCATCCCCCTGCATGTCCCTGGTGAGTTGGGCTAGACAGGAAGATGGAGGGGGGGGGGTCGTCAGCACACTTGCCTTGAATCAGAAGGTGTGTGGGTGGTTGGCGGGAACTCATGTGTGGTTTGCCCCTTCTTGCCACATATTGAACATCTTTGGCTCGTGTCTCTCCTCTTTCTTTTCTTTGTAGGTTACTCTCTAGTGACACCTCTGATCTTCAGAACTTATATAGCATATTTGTCTTACTAGTGCTGTAAAATTCTAATTAAAACTAAACTCAGAAGGTCCTGGGTTTTATGCCTCAAAATCCCATGACATTTCTGGATAGACACTCTAATATTAGCTCATCTTGAGCCTTGACCAGTTCCAGGTGGTTCTTCCTCTCATCTGGTCTGGTGTTCAACAGAACCAAACAGTCTTGGGAAACCCAACTGGTCTGTCACTATTGATGACGTCTGAGCACTGGTGTGTTTGACTGTGGGGTTTGAGTGAAACCAGAAAAGAGTGGCGCTAAGCTTTTCTAATTTTTTTTGTCCTCTTTGTTTCAGTCTTTTGGGTCATTTAAGTTTGTTGGGTTTTTTTATGTAAAAAAAGCCTTTTTAGGCATGTCCTGCTTACATCCATTTCTCCACGAGAAGATGAGATGAGAGCAAACTACTGAGAAGGATTTTACTTTGATGCTCTCTAATATAACATTGTTCACAGAAACGTCTTAGAAATGTGTGAGTCGAACAGAAAAACTAAAGCAATATTTTCCGAGCAAGGAAGATGCCGGAAAGATAAGATGTTTATGCTGTAGTAGAGACATCGAGAAAAAAAGTCTCTTTTTCACACATGAAACTCGATTTTGGGCTGTCAGTAAGTGAACCCAAAGAAGCTGCTATCGAGAGTCAAGTCTAACAACTCCCAAGTTGTGATGTGGAAATTCTGGAAGTTTTGCTTCACGGCGGGCAGTCTGTGTGCACAAGTGACGAGGCTGCCTCGATGAGTTTATTTTGTTCCTTATGTTGAATGATTATGTTTCTTTTTAGCCGTAGCCGTGTCTCTCTGGGAGGTTGGAAATCTTACTTTTTTTCTTTCCCTTTTTTATTTCTGTCTGTCTTATGTTTTTCCCTGCACTGAATAACAGTTGTTATTTAGATGTGCTTTTCCTCCTCCTCTAGAAATTATAGAAACTAAATCAAACAGCTGTGTCAAAGATAGAAGAGAATTAATAGGTACTCTGGTGCTGTGTTCCTTTCCCATTTCTTTGTCAGTGTTTCTTTTGCCCTGATTTCTTCCTTGTGAAAAGCGTCTGTAGTCAAACCTACTGGCTTTGCGACTCGATGCCTTTCTGCCACTGTCCTGGGGTATCTGTTCTGGTTTGAAGTCTCTCAGCATACATACACGTGTCTCCTTATTTCACGGTCAAAAGTCAAAAACTTTTATGTGAGATAATGTCTTGAATGACGGAATATTTCTAATTGTGTTGCAATTACCGTTAAACGCTTACGAAAACAAAACAGAATATTTTGACTTTTGACCGTCCAATCGTTTGTTGATCCAGCGTGTGATATTCACTGCCGTCTCTGTTTTACCGTAAGTCGGTGGCGATTTCCCGGCAGGCATCTCCTCGTCGGACAAGTACATGATGCTGCAGCAGCAGGCGGAGCGCAGCAAGCGGGAGAAGCGGGAAAAGGGAGGCAAGAAGAAGAAGAAAAAAGGCAAGAGCTCCAAGCACGCAGTGGCCGAGGAGTCAGAGGATGATGTGTCAGCCTTACACGCTGTCAGCACAGTGATGGACGCGCCAGAGGTCAGTTCTGTGAGGGGTTAATGAAGGGGTCAGGGAGTGCTTTGGTGTAGGGCTGGGGGAGGGGGGGGGGATGGTTTGAGGGCACCTCTGATAGGTTCTACTTCTGTTCTTCCCTGCTGTTATTTCCGTCCATCTTTCTTGCTTTTTCCCTCAGTGACTTATTGTGTCCAGGTGCTTCTCTTTAATAAAATTCACACAAATATGGCCAAGGAATTTTGCTGTCTGGGACTTCAAAAAATAAACTTATACTTTTGTTTCCAAAGCTTTAATTTGGTGTTTTCATATATGATAGGCTGTGTGTGTGCTGGGGGGGGGGGGTGTAATAGTGCACTAAAAACTGTTAGTGACTCCTGTACAGTAAGTATGTGCCTCTAGTGCGAGTGTTTGAAGTTGTGTGTTATGTTTTCTGCAGGGTATGGACACTTCGGACAAGGAGGAGGACCGAACAAGGGATGAGAAGTACAAGGCTCTGGACATCAACTTGGATGAGTAAGTCTTTATCTGTGTATGGGGATTGGGGAGGGGGGGGGGATTCCTAAATGCTCTGGTCAAGTGGTTGGAGGGCGCCACTGCTAGGTTCTACTTCTTTACATTCCGTCTGCTGCTTCTGTCTGTCTGTCTTACTGTTTACCAGTGCTTATTGACCATTGTTGTGTTAATGTGCTTCTCTTTATTCAAACAAACAAACTAAATGCTTGTGGGTAGTTGGCGGGTGCTCTGGTGTGGTTTGCTTCTTCTTTCCTATCAAACATCTATCGTCCTTATCTTCCCTTCTTCTTTTTTATGTTTGTTACTCTCTTGTAACACCTCTTATCTTCTGGCGCTCATATGACCTTATGCAGTTGCGAGAACCGTAAAACCTCTACTTAACCAAAACTAAATGCTCTATGTAGGGTCGATGGAGACATAAAACTTCAACAACTACAATTATATATACTGGGAAAGTGTTGTTGAATCATTCTTTGAGAGCTCAGCAAATCCCAGTAAAAGGCTTGAGCATGTCACTTGAAGACCTTCCCCTGAAGTCCACCTGTCAACTGATTTTTCCCAGCATGAAATGAATGATACCTTGTGAGTGCACTTGTTCCCTTTACTCTCAAACAAGCTTGCTCACTCACATTCCTTGTCTTCTCCCATCCAGACCGCTGAGAGACGACGAAAAGTTGCCGGTCCCCACCCACCACATCGTCCTGGATTCTGGGAAAGCCGAGGGCGAGACGGAGGCAGTTGAGACGGAGAAACCCAAGAAGAAGCACAAGAAAGATAGAGAGAAGAAAGAGAAGGAGAAGAAGGGAAAGGTGAGTAAAAAATTCAATGACAAGAGAGAATTGTGATATCAGAAGAAGGAGAAGGGAATGGTGAATGAAGAACAAAATGAATGAATGGAGAGACAGAAAATGACAATAAATGAAGGGATAGACGAGTAAACAATAAAGTGATGAGAGAAGAGAATGGGGGTAGGCCCCCTATCTGGCCCTGTGTTTGCATGGTATAATAGCCTCTATGACATTGTCTTCCCACTGATACAACAAATTGCTTTATCTATGGACAGTTGGACAGTGTCACTGGTAGCTCCCACGTCTTTACTTTTCTCTCTATTGTTTCTGTCCGTCGACTTTACTTTTCTCTCTATTGTTTCTGTCCGTCAGTCCTACTGTTTCCTTGCACTAAATGACAGTTACTGTGTTGACGTGCTTCTCTTTCCTCACACAAAAGAAACCAGCCAGGACTGACCATCTGTGTTTTGTTTCTGACAGAAGGAGAAGAAGAAGCGAAAGAAATCTGAGAACGGTGACAACGGGCCCTCTCTGCTGATCACAGAACACACCAATGGGCCCGAGGAGGTGGCTCCCGGTGACTCCTCTGAGGTTGTCTCAAGGGAGGACAAGGCGAAGGCTGAGCTGGCAAATACCGAGCCTCAGGATAAGGTACATGTTTGTCGCTGAGAGGTGTACTGCAAAAAGCAACAGATTCACACAGGCTGGCTTGGGGCATAGTGTTGGTTGGCTGGGCTCCTCTTTCTGGGAGTAACTGTGTCTGTGCTGTAGTGACTAGCCTTTTTTGCTTTGCACCCAGAAGACATGGGTTTGATTTTTCAAAGAAGTGGGGAAATAGTTGTATTCTAGCATTTTTTTTCTTTTTGCTGGATTCTGTATTTTCTTCCTTTTTGTTAGTGTTTTACGGTGCTCACAACTGCATAAGGTAAGGTCATATGATGGTCCCACGTGGACAGGTTAGCAGTGACAGACAAGTGGATGCAGCCCAGACCTAAAAATAATGTTGTTTGTGTTGATGGAGGAGTGAGACATCTTTCAGTCAATCTATTAACTATTAATTAACATAGTCAAACTCGTAAAATCCTGCTGACTGTAGTGTGTGTGAACCTTCCATCGGGGATGGGGGACAGTTGTACCACTGGATGAAATGTTACGGTTAATTTTTAAGTAGTCACATGTCACACAGGCAGTGGTTCAGAGTCCCTTACTTTGTGGTCAAATGTGCACTGAAGTAAAAATTGCTCTTTCAGAATGCGGATGATTTAGACTTCTGGCTCTCCACAAATGATGCACCCACCAACTCTACCAACTCCACCGCTGCCACGGGGGGTTCGGACCCCCAAGCCCTACAGAATGGCCCTGCAGAGGGCGTGTCTTCTCCAGCCCGGTCCAAGCCCAAAGTGGCGGTGGAGAATGTGATACTCACTTCAGAGGAAGAAGATCCTGCACCGACGGATGAGGTAGGACGGACATACAGTGACACACTATGTGGCTCGCTACTTTCACTCAGATATGACTGTTGTGTACGATTGTTATGTATCGACAGATGCTGCAAGAAGTTGAAGAGCGCTTGATATTTGAGAAAAGGAGAGAAAAGTTGTACCTCATTCCAGAAATACTTTTGTTTGCTCTCACATGGTGTCCAAAGTCAACTAGGAAGCCATACCTCAGTTCATCAAAATGCTACGATAATGACATCTGAGCCAAAATTAGACTAGCCTACCCTAGATTTTCTGAAAGGGTGGCTTATCTCATGTCAGAAAGTGGAGTAAATGCGTTGACAAATATTTCGAGTAAAAAGTCATTTTGGCCATGAAATAAGACAATGTGTGTTCTGGTTTACCCTGAACCAGGTAAAATTACCTGGACCATTTTGGTAGCTCATTGTTGACTTACTTTTTTGCTTGGCAGACACAAAATGCTTCCTACTTTTATCATCTTTATTGGTTTGATTTTTTAGTTCAATGATTTTGTTACTGTCTGTATTTAATTATGTTTCTTGACTTTTTCTGCAGAAAGCGAAGAAAAAGAAAGAGAAAAAATCAAAGAAAGATAAGGAAAAGGAGAAGCAGCAGAAGAAGAAAGAGAAGAAGAAGTTGAAGGAGAAACGCAGCGAGTACGAGGTGGCTGAGGGAATCACAACGCCCTCGAAGGAGTCGCTGTCCTTGTCTCAGCAGCCGACGCCCAATGACGTGAAGATTCCGGTGAGTTGTGGCACAAATTAGTCCTTTACTACCAAATTTAGTATGTAAGTTTGGGGTTTTCACTAGGTGAGATTTGGTAATAATAATAATAATAATAGATAGCATTTGTATAGCGCATATCCCCGCTCAACAGCAGGCTCTATGCGCTTTACACTATATTATTACCCCAGCAGACCATAGAACACTCTGAAACATTCTCAGCTTCCCGGGAAGCATACAGTGCGAGCAGCTGATTAAGCGCTCAAACACTAACAAACTGACAAGATCTTTCGCTGTCTATAGCTGGGTACCCATTCCCACCTGGGTGAAGTGAGGAAAATTCGTGTAAAGTGCCTTTCCCAAGGACACAACGTCGGGCCCTTGACGGGATTCGAACCCACGACCTTACGGTTGCGAGTCCGAGAGCCTAACCACTAGGCCACCGACGCCACTGGTATTCAGTATTGGGTTGTGGAAAGGTTACATGTTATGATGAATAGGTGAGGCAGCATTGTGAAATTAGGCGCTCGTCAAAATAATGAAATCAAAGAAACAGGCATTTTCCCGCAGGTTTGGGAATTTTTATCGAAATTTAGGTTTTCGGCTGAACACCCTTCATGCCCAGTAACACTTTGCGGTCACTTGCCGCAATAATGCGACGGTGAAAATTATCCGTTCCGGTTACCTGGCGCACCAGGCCGGAGAAGTACGTTGCAGTCTCTCTCCTTGCTGGGTGACCAGATGGGGTATTTTGTACTTCTGGCTGTGTGACTGCAAAGAGTTAAAGAAGACATTTCTGTTTTGATTTTACTGAAAAACATTGATTAAAGGCATAAAAGATGTAAATTTTCAGCTCCCACAGACTCTCATGCTAACGATATATTGCAAATTTGGTGGTCATTTTCTCGCTAATTTACCTCTGAAACAAGGCAACCCCCCACCTCCTTCCATCGTACCCAAAATAAATGGATATTTTTTCCATCCTAAGCAGGGCAAATGGACAGGCTTTAAGATAATACCAATCACTCCATATGCCCCAACATTGATTCCACTGCATTATGACATGCTATGTTTATTCTTTTTTAGTTTTAAAATAAGGTTTTTGACTTTTTGGCTTAGGATTTCTAACTTTGTGTTGTCAGAGGGTTATCCATGAAAGATTTGTGATAAAGACTTTAAAAATCGCAAAAGAGAGGAGGATGTCTAAGTCTGTATGAGAACCTTACTAGAGGAGCCAGTTTTTAGCGATTGTTCCTCTTGGACAGAGATTTTAATGTTGCTTTTTCCCAGCATTGTAAGGATTTATCATCGTTACATCCTTTTCTTTTTTATTTAAAAGAAGAAAAAAAAAAACGCTGAATATTAAAGAAACGCCTACTTAAGTACGGCTGATTTTGATTTTTTATTGAAGATAAAAATCACCATGCCATCGTTTTCTCTCCTCAGCCAATGAGTAGTTATCTCCCCCTTGCTGAGAACTCTGCTATCAAACTGGTGAGTGCAACACTTGGATGCTGTCCATGTCCCTTCCCCTGTAATAGTATTTGTGATAAACGGAATCCCATCTCCATCAACCTGCTCTATGAGTTTTCTTCCTGTTCCTAGTCCCTTCTTCCTCTTTCTCCTCCTCCTCCTCCTCTTTTTCTACTCCTCCTTCAGTATTACTATTGTCTTGAATATGTCTTAATCTGTTCCCAGCAAAGCGTGGTTGTTGTCGTGGACGCTCACAGTAAATCGAAGCTCGAGAGTTACCTCGATAGACTTTCCCTCGATAGACTTTCCCTCAGTCAGGATCTTGTTCCCACAGTTCTTCACAAATTCTCCTCATCCTACACCGTCACACCTTGAACATGTTTCTGTATTTGTTAATTTGTTAATTTTTTGTCTTTTAGAGATCTTGTTTTCATTTTGGTGGATATGTACTTTTTATCACCTATTTAATACTACATGACATCTTTCTTACGCTTGAAAAGTAGAAGACACAAGAACAACTTATAAAGAGAACTTTGACAGACAGGTGGCAGGGAGAGACCCAAGTAATATTATTTGGGGGGGGGCTGAGGTTAGAGCATCCAGGCAGAGATATGAATGGTGGATCTTTATTGCAAATATCTGCTTCAGATCTGGCACATTATGATGAAGAAAAAAGACTTCAATTTATTGTGATGATCTTAAAAACTCTGACTTTTGTTTGTCCTAAGAGCTTTGTCACCTGAAATCCCACTGGAGACTCTGTCCCAAGCCCTTGCTGATTGACTTACTCTTCTCGTTTGATCTCCTCAAGTTTTGACATAAATTTCAACTTTGATTATTCTACTAGTTTCTGTAATGGTTAGGCTCTTCATCATCATCATCACCACAGCAAAGGGCATGATTTCAATTCCCATTTGTGGAAGTGGAAGTCAATTTATAAAGTATTTCCATCTGTCTGCTAGGAAACTGTGTCCAAGTCAGTACAGGTTGGCCTTGATAGGCAGGGCTTAAGCAGCCCATCTCCTTATTAATCTTAATTGTGTCAATGGGGCTGCAAAACATTTTTATTCAATGATTCATATAGAAGTTGGGTGGTTGTTTGTTGTAGAGGTTTTTCCCCTGAAATGTGATGATGTGATCGATGCTGTCCTTCCAGACTTGCGAGAGCCGCGTCAACCACCAACGCAGCGACCAGATCATCGTCTCCGTCGTATTCTCCAACCTCACCAAAGACACCATCAAAGATCTCGAGTTCAACGTGCTGGACACTCTCAACACCAAGCTGATCAGAGGGGTGAGGAGAAAGGGGGGAGAGGGGGGTGGGGAGAGAAAGGGGGGGGAGGGGAGATCAAAGAGTTAAGCATGCTGGGACGAGGGAGGGGGCGGGGAATGAAAAAGAGGAAGAGTGAAATGAGATGGGAGGATGAGGTGAGAGGAGGAGTGAAAGAAGAGATATGAGCAAGAGTAAAATTCAAGGGGGGGGGGAGATGTTTGGGAAAGTTATTTGCTCAGTCTCTTGGTTGTTCTCTGACCCCAAAGATCTCAAATGTCTTTGTCAGAAATGGACATGGTAGACGTAACTGTATCTTGATATTTATCTGAAAGGGGTCAGCTGCTTGTTACAGGGATGTTCTTTGCTTTCTCAAATGTATTTTAATTTAATGCACTTCTCTTTATTGCAGCTCTATAAATAGTGTTCTATCATGCAGAAGAGAAATTGTATTTTTACTGAAGTGTGTTTAAAAGATCTCTGCAAGTAGCATTGTGTTATGAAAACTTTACCCTGGTTGGTCCTACTTCTCAGTTTTATTCTTTTTCATTTCTTAGTGACCGTTATTGAGTCTCTGAGCTTCTCATAACACAAACGAACATTTGATTATTTTATGTTTTCTGCGTCTGTGACCAGATCGGCGAGAAGTCCCAGGACGCAGTGAAGGTCCCATTTGTGCTGCTGCCCGAGGCCCAGAATGAGGGTCAGTTTGCCTTCACCGTGGACAACATCACCATGCCGCAGAAGTTGAGGGGAACGCTCACCTATATACTCAAGGTACTTCACACTACTCAGCCAAAGAGGTGTCGGGGGGGGGGGGGGAGTTCATTTGTATGTGATCTCCTTCTTCAACATCTTTTCAGTGTAGCTATAGTGTCGCATTGTGTAGCGAAGTGTGGTCAGGCCAGATTAGTTCACAAGTGTGTAATGAAGTTCCTCCTTGACACTCGTCCATGTGCACCCCGCCCACTGCCATGTTGGTTAGCACTATTATGGCATGGTCTGATCCCTCCAGTTTGTATTTTAGTGTGACCATTTTCTAATGGAGAAATGACGGGTGTTTGGAGGGTGCCAGCAGTAGGTCGTGCCTTTTCCTCTCCCTCTGTTGTTTCTGTCTTTTGGTCTTCACTTTTCCTAGATTAAAACAATTTATTATGTCAGTGGGCTTCTCTTTTCCGAAACTCATACCTGATCAAATGTAAGATAAGACATGTATTGTCCAGATGCTGGCTGGTTGGGTTGATGTTTAACCGAACAGACACATGCGCGCATGCGAACACCCATATACACCTTTCAAATTATTATTGTTATTATAGTTTGCCATGTGTAAGCAATATTGTATGAGTGGGTGGTTAGCGGGTGCTCTGGTGTGGTTTGCTTCTTGCTTCTTCCTTCCTATCAAACATCTATCGTCCTTATCTCCCCTTCTTCTTTTTTATGTTTGTTACTCTCTTGTAACACCTCTAATCTTCTGGCGCTCATATGACCTTATGCAGTTGCGAGCGCCGTAAAACCTCTACTAAAACTACAAAATATTTTATAATTCATGGAAAATAAGTGAATGTAGATTTTATGTGCAGGTAGTTAGAGGGCGCCACTGGTAGGTCCTACTTCTTTTCTTTCCCTCTTTGTTTCTGTCTACCAATATATACTTTTCTTTCCCTCTTTGTTTCTGTCTTCCAATATGTACTTTTTTCTTTCCCTCTTTGTTTCTGTCTACCAATATATACTTCTTTTCTTTCCCTCTTTGTTTCTGTCTACCAATATACACTTCTTTTCCTTCTCTCTTTGTTTCTGTCTACCAATATACACTTCTTTTCTTTCCCCTCTTTGTTTCTGTCCACCAATATTGCTTTTTCCCAGTACTATATGACTGTCATTGCGCCGGTGGGCTTCTCTATACTCAAAAACAAACTTGAATGTTGCATGTATTGTAGTCTGTATCCTATATTGTAGTCTGTATCCTGACAACTGGCCATGAGATACATGGGTGTGCTTGTTGTTGTGTCCCCAGTCTCCGGACAGCTCCACACAGGACAAGGTGGACTTTAAGATCAGCCTGCCCTGCAGCACCTACCTAGTCTCAACACCATGCACAAGGTATGGACACCCTCCTCTCCTTCCCGCTCTCTCCCTCTCTTCCTTCCTCTCTCCCTCTCTTCCTTCCTCTCTTTCGTCTCTTCCCTTCCTCTCCTTTTCTCCCTATCCTCTCTTCCTTTCTCTCTCCTTCTCCTTCTTCCTTCCTCTCTTTCCTCTCTTCCCTTCCTCTCCTTTTCTCCCTCTCCTCTCTTCCTTTCTCTCTCCTTCTCCTTCTCCCTTCCTCTCTCCTTCTCCCTCTCTCCCTTTCCCTGACACTGCTTTTTAAGATTATCTTTTTGCTGTAAAAGTTTTTCAGTCTGTCGTTAGGTTAGGTCTTTGATTTTGATTGTTTTTCTTGGTGTGAATGTAGTAGGTACTTGATGGATCAAGTTGTGGGGTTTGCTCAGGCTACTTTTGTTGTGTGTTTCTTTTGTCTTCGTGAAGCTGTTCCCATGAACGGTTGGAGGACACCACTACTTCTTTTCGTTCGCTCTGTCCTTTCTGTCTTTCTGTCTTGCTTTTTCTCTGCACTAAATGACGATTATTGTGTCGATGTGCTTCTCTGTTCTCAAACTAACAAGTTGTTGTTGCAATGATGACTGATGCGCAGTAATGTGCCAGTTGTTAATTGTTGTATGTGTGTGTGTGTATGTGTGTGTGTGTGTGTGTGTGTGTCTGCTACCTGTAACAAAAACTTCTTCTGTGTGTGCGTGTGTGTGTGTGTCTGCTACCTGTAACGAAAACTCCATCTGTGTGTGTGTGTGTGTGTGTATGTGTGCTTTTGTGTGTGTGATTTCAATGTGTATGTCTCTCTGTGTGCCAGTACCCTGGTACTAATGCCCTAATCTATGTATTGATGAAGGCGTAACACGTTTACAAGTACCCTGAATTGTGTGTGGTGCTGATTGTGTTGATGTATGTATGTGTGCTTGTGTGTGCATCCGTTCCTCGCACGACTCCCCTCACCTCTGTGTGTTTTTGTCGCCAGTGAGGAGTTTGCAGCATTACTCAGCAACGGGGAGCTGGAGGAGAAGGCGTCCACCAAGTTCTCCGCGGTCGACGCTCAGCTGTCCCCCATGCTGGCCCGAGTCTGCTTCTATTTACATTTTAGAGGTGAGCAGGGAGGGGTTGTGACAGAACTTTTTTTTTTTTTTTTTTTGGGTAAAGTGTTTTACGGCGCTTGCAACTGCATAAGGTCATATGAATGCACGGAACACACCTAATATTTTCAGTTGGTAGGAAATTTTGAATTTTGCCCGGATGGCGGCCGAAGCCTACTCTTATCGATTTTAGACCACCAAGGGATCTTTAACGTGCGCAACTTGTACACGGGCCCCCCGAGATTTTTCGCCCTTGTCCGAGAAGGCTAGGTGTAGATCTTTCCTACCAGAAGATCAGGGGTGTGGCAGAAAGACAGCAGTAAGGAGGAGCAAAGGAGTAACAGTAGAAAGGCTGCAGAAAGAGTCAGGAGCCCAAAGGAGGGGGTAAAGGAGGTGAGGGGGCGGGGGCAGAAAGTGGAAATGAAAGCAGACAACAAAACATTGCTAGAGAGCAGGAAAGGAGGTGAAAGGAGACAATTTTAGAGACGAACATTTTTCGGTCGCTACCCGGATTCGAACCTGGGACCTTTTAATGAGAGACCAACACCTTAACCTCTAGGCCACGAGAGCCCCCTTGTGACAGAACTGCAAGGGCGCATACGTGAAAAAACAAATAAATACACAACACTCACACACACACATCATCTTGCTCGTGCTTCGGCACATGCTCATTTCTCATATGTATGTACACTCACATACATGTATGCAGTCGTTCCTTTTTTCCGTTTATCTCTCCCCAGCTCCTTTTGCCTCTCTTTCTCTCTCTCTTTCTCTTTTCTTTTGTCTCTTATGTTTAGTCCTTATTTCTCTTTCTCCTTTCATCTCTCTCTTTCTCTTTGTCTGTCTGTCTGTCTGTCTGTCTCTCTCTCTCTCTCTCTCTCTCTCTCTTTCTCACTCTCTCTCTCTCTCTCTCTCTCCATTCTTCTCTCACGGCCACCCCCCCCCCCTTTCACCCCCATCCCCACCCCAATGCCTCACTGTTGCTTGTGGGTGGTTGGAGGGTGCTCTGGTGTGGTTTGCTTCTTCTTTCCTATCAAACATCTATCGTCTTTTTCTCCCCTCCTTCTTTTTTGTGTTTGTAACTCTCTTGTAACACCTCTAATCTTCGGCACTCATATGACCTTATTGTGCTGCAAGTGCCGTAAAACACTTACAAAAGCTAAAACATGACTGTTGCTTGTGTCTGTCCCCAGTTGTGGAACAAGTGGAAAGCAGTGCCTCCCTCTACAGTCGCTCAATCCAGGGACACCCAGTATGCTTGCTAGTCAAACTGGTCAGTATTACCACATTGTTCTTGCCCATTTCTGTCTTATAAAAGGAGGACTGTTTGTGAACCTACCTTCTTGCCCTTTGTATCTCCAGGGGTGGGGGCTTTTGATGTCCAACAGGGTAGTGGAACTACTTTTTTGTCTCCTTGCAGCCGAAGGAGGTTTGCGATATATGATAGTGCAAATGATTCTGTGCTAATGGTTACTTACTGAATTGCATTAACTCACTCACCGCCATTACCGCACCTTGTTGGACAATAGGCAACGACCACTCACCGCCTCTACCGCACCCCTGTCGGTCTTGTATTTTCCTCTTTATTTCTACTAATTGCCTGCGCATATGCAGCAATGGCAAAAGCCCAATTACTAGAGTAACATCCCTTTGACCATTCAGAGAAGTTTCATCCCCCCCGGGGCAGTGCCACTGACTGAAGTGTCTTTAGGCCATTCCCAAAGGGGGGACATTTCTCGTTCAAGCATAGTAGAATTGTGAATGGGCTGACTCACGTCACGCTCATAACTGCCTGATCTACAACAGGGAACTGCTGCTTTTTCTTTCCTGATCCTTACTTTTGTCATTTTCCTCTACTTCTTTTGTATGTTTGTCACTCTCTTGTAATCTGCTATTTTGGGGTGCCTTGATAGTCGAAGCAGACCTTGTGCTGTTGAAGCTAGAGAGGTGAGCAGTCTAAGTCTGATTCCCTGTAAAGACTTCTCTGTTGACATCCACCCCTTGGCACTCATATGACCTTATGCAGTTGCGAGCGCCGTAAAACCCTCTACTTTAAAAAAAAAAAAAAAGAAGTTTCACTTTATTAGAATGATTTCCCTTGAAGTTCTGCCTATTTTTGGAATGGGATGTCGCTTTGTCCTATTTCTGGGTTTTGTTTTGAACGTCAGGCGGCCGAAGTCGACCAAACGCTAACGTGATGCTCATGCCGATATGAAATGAAAATGGCTCGTATTTTTAGAGATTCTGAATCCATATGATTCAATGAACTCGGATTCAGATGATGAAGTGCCAAATAATGGTAGTGATGGTGCTTTGAGATAGGAAAAGAGGTAGATCACCTGTCGCCAGCAGTGTAGGCTAGTACTAATACTAAATCTAGATGTACTAGAACTAGAGTCTAGTACGACGATTAATGACTCAAGCGGTGATGCTTGAAATAAGTAGCCTAAGTCATCGTAAGCTTCTCAATTTAGTTGTTTTTTTGTTTTGTCATACATTTTTTGTGTGTATTTTAGGACAGAAACCGCAACACTCTCACAAAAAGCAGAAATATTGTGCGGGCTAGTTTGGCCCCAAAAAAAGTTTTAGTCCCCAAAATTTGTCGTGTTTTGAAAAGCTATAAACATTAACAAAATAGCATAGAGTCAAAATTCTTTCTGTACAGTAAAACTCAACATCTCTTTCTGAAACTGGCCAATTTTCATAAATCTAACATAAATAGATACAGAGTAACTGGATATTGAAAAAGGTAAAAAAAAGCTGGCAGACAGCGGCCTGGTCTGAGCTAAGGCGTCGGCAGCGAGTGAGTTAAGCATTCTGGTCTAGTGGTCATTTCTTGTTCACCTTACATCCTGTTCTAGTGGCTTCAGTTAAGGCAAAGAGTCTACATAACAAGAGGCTATCAAAAAAGTGTCCTCAAAATTCGGTGGCGCCCTCTTCGTAAGAGCACACCTATTGCGAACAGAGTTATCCTACTTGATTTGAATGAATTTCAGAAGAACGTTTTTTTTAATGGTTACGCTGACAAAAAACCTCTTCCGGAGGAAAGGGTGATTGTTTTCTTCGTTTAATTTGACTTTAGAATGAAAGGCGAGAGGTCATTAAAATTTTAAAAAACTAAAACTCCACACTGAACGAACCCTAACTGCTGATGAACAGCAGTCAATCTGCGCACGCAAGGAAGTGCTATTCCTATTCTGCTTCTAGAAAAGCGAAAGAGAGCTTCAAACAGACTGCAGCGCCATCTGAAGCAAAGAGCGAACTTCCTGCGGACACTTTTTTGGCTGAGTGGCCCATTTTGTTATTCACTATCTTTGATTAAGGTTGTGGGTTCAGTTTTTGCCTCCACAGTGTGGAGCCTTGACCCCCCTTGAAAGGTATCCAATCTTATGGGCTATTCCACTGTAACTGACGGGACAGAAAAAAATACCTGATTTGTCCCATCAGTTACAAAAACTTCACACGTCACGAAATTTGCATGAAGTACTTTTTTTTATGACTGCATTTAATATGATTCTTAATATGTCTTTCCCATATTCAGATCATTCAACGTTGAAATTAATTAATTGCTATTGAATTCCGGTGTTATCATTGTAAGAAAGTATAGTCCAAGTTTCCGGTCAGTTCCCATGGAAAAGCCCTTATGTTTCTCTGTTTACTTTCCTTCAAATGGATACCTGACAGTTGATAGAGATGGAAATATATGTGAATTGTGATCTCAAAACACCTAATAATAGACTGTCATACTGTACATTCCGCTGTGGTATGAGATGGCCCATCAGAATGAATACGCTGTGTTCAAACTTCTCATCAGTATGAACTGTCACTTACTCTTGCTATGAGAGCTACTATGATTCTGTATGGCGATACTGGTTGACTTGTGAGGTGTTTGATTCTGGTCCTGTGCTCCAGGAAAATGTTTAGACTTGTCGTTCAAGGATTTGTTATGCCAGGAACAAACAAAAAATTGTTTTATCTGATTTTAGTTTATTGAAAACAAAACGCAACAAGTCTGCTAGAAAAATTGGGAGCAAATTGAGACAAAAGTACGTATACTTTGTAGATTCCATTCAGTACTGTTGTTCTCTTTCTGTCCATGTCCAGGTTGATGGTACCTTGAGTGTAGAAGGCAAGAGTTCGAACCAGACATTCCTGTCCAACGTAGTGGAAGACGTGAAGACGTTGCTGACGTCAGCCAGCTCCTAACAGCGGTGTCGCGGCCGCTGCACTGCCTGTGATATTAGTGGAAAGCAAACAAGAGTGCAGGTCTGGCGGTGATCGCCACTGAGCCTACGACCTCCATCTCCGTCATTCGCATGATCTTCCCTCATCCTCCATCATGGACAATTTTCGTAGCGATTGAAACAAATTTTGTTGCCGTCACGGTTGTATTTATTTTTCTTCATCAGCACTGAACACACTTTTCTTTTTCTTTTTTTTTTTTTCTTTTCTGTTTTTGGTTACTTTTCCTGTTTTTGAGGATTTGATTCAAATTGCATTTCCTCATGAGAACGTAGAGCAGGTTGCTTAGTGGTTTGCCAAATTGTCTCTCGCTGATGCAATAATTGCTGTTAACTTGGAACAGTTGTCTGGAGTATAGCACTGCTGATTGCAGTGATCTGGCTCGGCATGTCTATTCAAGTGGTTTCTCCAGTTCTTTAAAAACAGAAAGAATAATCTCCAAGTGGTCAAAGATAATCTTCATTCTTACTGAAAGCCTTTTTTAGCAGGCAGTGTTAGTTAATGAGCAGTTGTTTTAACCTCCCTTGGTTTTTTTATATTTTTCTGACGGGGAAGGTTCTGGCTAAAACAGTCTTGTCTTGATGTTGATTCAAATTCTGGCAGCCGTGACAATGGGTGAGGATTTTTTTTCTTCGGCCGTCGTTTTGAGAAAGTTTTGCTCAGACATTCTTGTCCACTTCATTCCAACGAGGCATTCTGTACTTGAGTAGTGACTTGTGTAAAGACAACACTGAAAGGCTTTGTGACGGTGACCTGAGCAGTGACTGTCGCCTTAAAATTTGTCAGACAGTCATCTTGACCGTTAAATATGCTACAGAAAGGCAGATGGGGCTGCAATTTTGACAGATGTTTCGGAGTTCAGGGAACATCTGATACTCGAAACCTGTTGTGTTTTATTTTCTCATTATATAGCAACAGTGACTGTAGTGGGCTCTTCGACTGCTTTCTGTCTAGCAATGTGCGGCCCAGGGGTCTGTTTGGGATGCAATGCGATATGTTCTGAAAGTCTTGCTTGGTCCGGGTGACCCCCCTGATATGCAGCATGGATTTGTGACCAGATTGAGTGTTATTTGTTCAGTTGTTTTTTTTAGTTTTTTTTTTTTTACTTTGTTCAACATTGATATTGTGACCAGAGTCCTGTAATATGCATTATTTGATGCAATTTGTTAAATGCCATGTGTGCACATGTGTATGAATGGGTGCTCATCGATGGATGTGTGCATTGATGTGTGCTCCAGTGTGTTTGCTAGGGATGCTGCAGATGTGCTACCAGTTGAGGATGTGGGTACATCTGTTGGACAGAGGAATAAGATGTATCTGCAGGAGTGCGTGGGTGTGTTGGGGGAGGGGGAGAAGTTGCATGTATGTGTTGTGGGAAATCATTGAACTGTCGTTATTAAGACTGTGCAGAGTGATGAGAAACTACCATAATACGATGTATGAACTGCCGTAGGGTGTGTCATGTAAGTGTTATTGTACAAGTGTCATTTGCAGGTGTGGGAAATTTGTTCCGAGACGCACACGACTTCACTTGCTGCTTGATATTACTTGCTTCAGCTGGCACTGTGCCTCAGGTGCTTCGGGGTGTACATCTTTTTTTTCCATTTTCTTCCTTTAGGACACCTCATGAGCAAGTTTTCAGCAGTTTCCCTCCCCATGAATAGTTGACCTATGTAATCTGTTGGCCCTGATGAGATTTAATGTTTTATTTATATTTGGAATAAAGGTGAAGTCGGAGGAATGACTGCGAAATGTCGGACAACATTTTTCTTTGTCGCTTCTGCGTGTCTGTTTAACTTGTGTTCTCATGTACCCCCAGCATGTGTGTGTATATGTGTGAATGCATGTGTGTGTGTCAGAATGTGTTAACGTATGTATGCATATGCGTTTATGCATGTTTTTCTGTGTGTGAATATTTATAGATGAGGAGAGGGAAGTGTAAGGCATTTCTACTGGGTAAGTTGAGAGTTATAAATATAATTGATCACAGGGGCAGATAGTTTCTTTTTTGGCCTTAACCTCCAAGTCTCAGTGACTCCTTTTTTTTTTCCCCCTCAAGTTTATCTTTTGTGGTGGGGATTCTGAAAAATTCTCCCATTTTTTATCTTTAAGAGGGTATGCAGATCTAACATCTCATGAGCTGGAAAAATGAGGAGCGGATTAATAAGAAAACTTGAAAAGTGTGCTGTGACGGGGGAGGTGGGGGGGGGGGGGGGGTTACTGCATGCATGTACATGTGTGTGGTGTGTGCTCTGATGGCTGTGATTTTGTTGTGTGACCAAATTTGTTTGTTTGTCTGTATGATTGTACAGTTAAGTCTTCCAGTATTTCCTGGTGTACTGAAACAAAGTGTGTGTGTTCATGTGTGAGTAACGCGCAGTGTGATGTACTTCCCCCTGCGCTCTCCCTGTAGCTGTACGGTATGTTTTCTTTGGGTTTTGGGGTTTTTTTAAGCTCAGTGTGGGCTTGGTCGATTAGGCAGGGGGTGTGCTACGTTTTGGGCAAAGCTTTGCTGTGCCAACTGACACAAGACGTAGAAGAAGAATCTGACTCTCACTATATATCTCATCTCTCTAGACTGAGGAAACTATCACCCTCATTTTCTTTATTTTTTGTCAAGTGTGTAGAAGGTAGGGTACCACTGTCCTGTCAGTTTTCTCTGACACCTAGCTAGCCACTGGGGTGTACTCACTTTCTGGCATTTTGGAAATTTTGCCGCATCGAGTACATTGGTAGAAAAAGAAATCTCCAAAGGATTTGCCTTGTGGTAGAGAGAGGAACGGTGTTTAATAATGATAATAATAGATAACATTTATGCTGCGCATTTCCATTTTCTAAAAAATTCTCAATGTGCATTTCATTAATAAAAAATATCACACCTTAAAAATTAAAGGACATGCGTGTGCGTAAAACATAGTATTATGCATGTTATGTATAAAAATTTCTAATTGAAAAATAGTCACACTGTGAGCCTGGCAATATGTTCCATTATTTTGTGCAACACTCCACCTGTTGTGATGTCTATTCTGAAACTGGTGATGTGAGCTCACACTCTGTTCTACTGGAGTCTGTGGTAGGTTCAGATCAAAAGTGGGGGAGATTCCTTATTCCGAGGATCTCCGTCTGTCTTCTCAGATGCCAAATCCTTCTCAACCTAGGGTGACCCTTGTAAGTTATACTAGGCTGGGTGGAAGCAGCCCACATCCCAAGGCTAAAACAGCACGAGGACATGGATGGCTGGTGCCTCTAAAGATAAACTATTGATGGTCCCACATCCTAGATTATCTAAATGGTGTCAGATGAGAGTACGTAAAACTAAAACCGTGACCATCATAAAGACCAGTCAAATTCTACTGGTGTAGTGGGGTGGCTAGGGGACTAGAGATGAGAATGAAAGCTCAAAATTGTTGTGAATGTGAAAACAAAAATGTTGTGTGTGTAAGAGAGAGAGAGGGGATTCCTTTGTGCTATCGCTTGATGTATGTACATTTTGGCATCTCGTTGATTTGATCACGGAATGATTTCACTTAGTTTGCTCCTGTAGCATGATACACCTCTGTTATAACTCTGTAATGCTGAATGTCCCATCGCATTACTGCCTTGCCAGTGGGATATAGGAACAAATTTGTTATGAAAAATGAATATTTTCTTTTCTCCATATGGCCATGTTCAGTATTGTAGTTAATTCTGGTAGCTGGCGTAGACTTCACCATATCTCATCTTAGCATATAAGAATGCTTATGCAGCTGATGGGCATTGTCTACAGCATTGCGTATGTGGAAGGAACAATGGTTGGCGGGGAGGGGAAATTCTGTGTTGTCCACGTAATGGATAGGAGTGGCGCTGTAAACATCTTGATCTCTCATTAACACATTCAGGCCTTCACGTGGTCACAACACAGCACAAATTCACGGTTGTCAGTCGTGTGAATTGAAACGTTCATCTTGTGGAAAATGAAACAATCATCTTGTGGGGAATGAAACGGTCATTTTTTACTTTTTTTTTTTCGTAGAGCAGCAGCCGAGGGAGAAGTAGAGGAAAGTTTGCCAGGGATTTTGTTGGTAAAATTTTGTTGATGGAATTGTTTGGATTTTTCTCCAGCTCACTGGTGGTATCGTCTTGCGTGTAGCGTGTAGTGGTTACGGTGATATGGACTGTGTTAGTGGACTTTGGGGTTTTGTTTTTCTGGGTTTTTTGTAAGTTTTATTTTGTGTCTGTGTTTCTGCTCTTGTGATTTGAATTTATCTCAGGTAGGCGAGCATGACCTCCAGCCTTTGACCCTGAGAGAGATTGTTGACCTTTTGTCCTGAATTAATCAAACAAGCCACCAGATAATGCATCTTCGTTACTTGAATTTTGTTTCTGCTTTATGTATATAGTTCTCAGTTGTTCCTGATATCTCATGTTGATTGTCATAAATATATTACTTCATCTGGTTTTTTTCTGCACTGGCAATTTTGGCATTAATGTCACACCAACGTTTTCATTCATGTTGTTGTTCATTTTGTTCTCTCCCATGATTAAAACTGTCAACTGTATGCAGACACCATGTTACTAATAATAGCAACATATTTCCCATTGATGAGGAGACGCACAGAGTCTGTGTGGGCGCCTGGGTGGGTGTGAGTCAAGTGAGTGTGTCCTTTGGTCCAGCAAGGTGGGGCCGTCTGTCCCCAGCTCTTACTCTTAGACTTTTCACGTCTGGTGTATACGTTTTCTTGTCCATGTTGTCTGGTCCTGAAGTGGTTGGTGGTACTTTGTCAATAATGGTCCTTCGTTGGTGGTCCGTGGTAGCTTTGTCATGAAGTCATCGATGGTCCCTCGTGGATGGTTCCTCCTTAATGGTTCGTGGTAGCTGCCCATAACATAACAGGTCCTTCGCTTTCTCTTGTGTTGTACATGAGTTTTCTGCAGCCCTCGCAGTTGAGCATAATTGTGGTACGCTCCCTTCAAGACAACGGTTCATTGCATAGACAGGGAGGAACGCATTGTTTTGTAGGGGGATAATACATACAGTTTTTGTAGCAGAGAAATGTATAAGATATATTGTATGGATGCAGTGGCAACTGAGAGAGAAAAAAGCTAAATGTCAGCAAGTATCCGTGGCTGGGCTGTTGCTGAATTATCAAGGACATAGGACCCACTTCCTGCACAACTGATGCATTTGACATTATGGCTATCTGTGCATTTAGGTACACATTAATAACACATACTGGTACACATTCCTGGTGTGTGCTGTCCCAATCGTCCGTTCAGTTTAAAAAAGGTAATCTTGTGGCCCCAGGAAACGAGTGCTTAAGGACAATATCTTTTTCTTTGCACTCATTTCTTGTCTGATATAACTGCTACTACAACTACAAATGTGATAGCTTAGTGAACCAAAAGAAAGCAGAAAATATCTTTGGGGTTTTGTTTTTGTGGGGACTGTGGACATCCAATTTGTTTTATCCAGCATAGACCTTTTTTTCTGACAATTGGTCAAGCCAATGATGTACTGGTGCTTCTCGTCGATCTCTGGTTGTGAGTTGTCGACAAAGTTTTTTCATAACGTTGTTGGTGGTGGTGGTGGGGACAAAATTGTGTGTGGCCGTCTCTCTGCACTTGCGTCTATCTCATTTACCTGGTATTGTAGCGCCATCTCCTTACCTTTACCTCATTCCCTGGAGGTATCAAAAAGCATCACTACCAACTACTACGTACGATGTCCACTTTGATGCAGACTCCTCAAGCTATGTACCACACACACACACACACACACACAGAAGAAAAGGCTGCAATGAGATGTCCCAACTCCTCATCAGTTCCTCGATTAGGAAAGTGGTAGAGTGTGCGTCTCAGATTGGTTGAGAGTGTGCTCTCGTGTGTGCAATACCCTGGTGTGTTTGCTGGTCTCCAGATTGCCCCTCGGACCAAAACTCTAGATCTATTTCTCTTTTCTTTTTTTTTTTGTATTCTGTGTTCTGGATGTGTTCCAAAGATAATCAGTTGTGCTTTGAGATACAGAATTATAAACAAATTATGTGTAAATTATGAATATTTTAAATGATTAAAAAAAAGGAATAATTTACCAAATCCACTCAGTAAGACTTTGACATTATTTCTATGCCCTGCATGCTTTTTTTGTTTGTGTTCTGTTTATTTCATGATTATGGTAGTCACAAGCTTAGTGCTTTCCTCTACTTCTAACAACTCCATGTTCTGGTTTTGACGTAAATCACTTTGACAGCACTGAATTCAAAGGGGGCTCTAGTGGCCTAGAGGTTAAGGTGTTGGCCTCTCATTCAAAGGTCCTGGGTTCGAATCCGGGTAGCGACCCAAAAATTTTCTTCTCTAAAATTGTCTCCTTTCACCTCCTTTCCTGCTCTCTAGCAATGTTCTGTTGTCTGCTTTCATTTCCACTTTCTGCCCCCACCCCCTCACCTCCTTTGCCCCCTCCTCTGGGCTCCTGACTCTTTCTGCAGCCTTTCTACTGCTACTCCTTGGCTCCTTCTTACTGCTGTCTTTCTGCCACACCCCTGATCTTCTGGTAGGAAAGATCTACATCTAGCCTTCTCGGACAAGGGCGAAAAATCTCGGAGGGCCTGTGTGCAAGTTGCGCACGTTAAAGATCCCTTGGTGGTCTTAAATCGATAAGAGTAGGCTTCGGCCGCCACCCGGGCAAAATTCAAAATTTCCTACTATCTGAAAATATTAGGTGTGTCCCGCGCGCTCATATGACCTTATGCAGTTGCGAGCGCCGTAAAACACTTTCCAAAAACAAAAAACAAACTGAATACAAGACGCAAAAACAGAACTACAGTCGAAATTGTCTTAGAAGGCCTCCCATTATCGAGGAAAAAAGTGACAGTATTAGACAGGCGGCCGCCTTAAAAAGTGTCATTATAATGTTTAAAAAATATGCAAGGGAGGAAATAGGAAGTGATCATTTGTGTACATGTGACTGTCTAATACAGGTCGCTGTGAGAGCAGGTTCTTCCCCCCGGGGCAGTGCTACTGACTAGTGACTGTAGTGTCTTTAGGCCATTCCCAAAGGGGGGACATTTCTCGTTCAAGCATAGTAGAATTGTAAATGGGCAGATTCATGTCTCGCTCATAACTGTGCCTAATCTGCAACAGGGAACTGCTGCTTTTTCTTTTCTAATCCTTACTATTGTCCTTTTCCTCTACTTCTTTTGTATGTTTGTCACTCTTGTGACCTGCTATTTTGGGGTGCCTTGATAGTCGAAGCAGACCTTGTGCTATTGAAGCTAGAGAGGTGAGCAGTTGAAGTCTGATTCCCTGTAAAGACTTCTCTGTTGACACCCACCCCTTGGCTCTCATATGACCTTATGCAGTTGCGAGCGCCGAAAACCCTCTACTATATACATATATAAAGAGCAGGTTCAACTGGATAAACAAAGTGAAAGTCAAGTTCTGTGGAATGAAGGCAATAACCATAATACTTTTAGACTCAGAGGGAAGTTGTTTTTAAAAGTCTTGGCAATTGTGACGAAAATGCCCACTATAAGACTGAAACTGTAGATACTCAGTTCATGAGGTGCTGATAACGGGTGGTTGGTGGCTACTTTGGTGTTCAATGTTTGTTCAATGTTCAGGGTGGGTGGTTGGGGGGCGCTCTGGTGTGGTTTGCTCCTTCTTTTCTATCAAATATATCGTCCTTGTCTCTCCTTTTTAGTGCGTTTATTTTTATCTTCTAATCTTCGGCACTTGTTTGACCTAATTGTGTTGCAAATGCTGTAAAACTCTTACTAAAACTAATGTTGGGGGTATGCTCTGGTCCATAATCTGCTCCAGTGGTTATCACAATGACTCACAGCACGACGGCTTGCTGTAAGACCTCTGTAACTGAACTTGTTAAAATTTTACAAGAAAACCAAAAACTCCTGATTCGTTCTGTTAAAAAACAAAGTTTTAATTTTTTGAGTAGCATTGTCGATATATTCTGCTTGTAAATACACTGCCTTTGCCAACATCAAGTTTGACTTGAGATATATTATCATAACATTAGATAGAAATATCATTTACCGGAAAACTTAACTTGACCCTTGACCCTGTGTTAGGCTCTTGAATGTGTCAATTACAGAAGGTTAACGACTAAAGTTCGATTTAAAGCCTTGATCACAAAGGCAATTTATTGTTACAGGCTTTTTACATTATCTTGATTTACTGGTTATCAACTGAAGGCCACACAAACGCATACGATTACATAATAGGCCTATTGATATAAATAAGTATAAAGATTTAAGTGAGACATGGGAACACTTGTACCATTTCCTAGGTCAAACAGTTACGCTAAAAGGAAAAAAAAACAGTCATGGTTAAATAATGACAAAGACCTTAAGTGCAAAAATTGTTTTTGCCAGCCTCGGAGGAGGGAGCTTTCGTGGTCTGGGGGTACAGTGTTCGCCTCTCATCCAATAGATCCCAGACTTGAAACCTGATCAAGATGGAAAATTTTCTTCTTTATAATTTTCTCCCTTCACCTCCGTTCATGCTCTCTAAGTTAGCTAACTATGTTCTGTCTTCTGCTTTCTTACCCACTTTCTGCCCCTTCCCGCTTTCCCCTTTGACCCCTCCTCTGGGCTCCTGAAACGGTTTCTGCAGCTTTCTACTGCTACACCTTGACTGTCTTTCAGCCAGACCCCTGATCTTTGGGTAGATAAGATGTAACACCTAGCCTTTTCAGATTTATACAAGGGCTAAACAATGTCAGAGGTCCCGTGTGCAAATTGCGCACATTAAAGATCCTTTGGTGGTCCTAAAGTCCATAAGAGAAGGCAAAATTCAAAATTGATTACTGCCAAACAGAACATGTTTAATGTGTCACGCACGCTCTTATGACCAAATGTAGTTGCGAGTGCCGTAAAACACACAACAAAAAAAGGTATTGAAGGCAATTCTATTGAGAAAATGCCACATGATGTATTCTTTTAGTATTATTGTAATGCTATAGGTTTAAAAAGAGGATTTGAATATGATGAAAACATAAACGCAAATAAAAGTTATTTTTGTCACTTATTTACTAACTACATATCACACCATCTGGCGTTTAGGGCAGCAACAAAGGATCTCCAGCTCTGTCTGTTTTGGGCTATCTTGGTCAACGTCCCCTACGAATGGTTCCAG